TTAGATTTTCAAAGTACTTGTTCAAAATTTAATTGGTCACAATAGTTTTGATCACATACTTGGAGCAAATGGGCTATTTATCACAGAAACACCATTCGTTGTATTAAAAACAGAGCAAAGGTAATCCATAAATAAAGCAATATATTTTTATGTAAGAATGAGCTGAATCAAAGAGATGGGGAGTAAATCTAGTTTAAATTCGGGTTCAGTACTGAGGAGTCAAGCTTCATATAATGATTGTTCTCAAAATATTTTCAAATTTGTGTTGAAATCTCCATTTCAGCTCCATCTTTAAAAATACCTGCCACAGCATTGATTATATCAGGTACTCTGATATGTACTCAGCTACAATTTAACTGCATGTAAAATATCTGACCTCAAGAGCATTGGCTAGATTGAACAGGCTGGATTTGAGGTAAAGCATTTTAGCTAGTTGCCAATAAAAGCACTTGCCACATATTCCAAAGATGTAGTGCCTGGTTATGTATATCCTTCCCTACAAACTACAAAAGGAGTCAAAATCCAAGGCCACAAATACTTCTGCAGCAGCATTTACCTGATGAGGTCCAAGGGCTGCTCTTTGTAGAACCGTAAGAAACGGGCCCACTCCATGTACAGCGTGTATCGCTCGCTGTCGCAGTTGGGATCACTTGCCTTTTTCCAGTACTGGCACTGGGGGCATATCAGAGGAGAGGCAAAACAGGTCAACGTCAGACTCAAATACTACATCAAAAGAAATGAACACTGATGAAAACATGCTCCTCAAGCTCAGGGAAATCAAAGTAGCTCAAAATTTTAAGTCAGTATTGTACTTCAGCCCTTTTGTATAAGCAGAACCTTCTCTATACCAGTAACTTTTAAAATTACTTACACATTACATGCGCATTTTCAGAGAACATTGATTTTAGATATTTAACCAACCTGTACCATAACCATCTCAATTTGTTACACTAATGTTGCACTAGGATAACATGTACTTTGCCATCCTTTTCTACTGCAGTAGATTGAGATGAATTGTTTATTCCTATATAGCATATGTACTTGCAGAAGCTCAAGCTTCCCTAAAAACAGGAATCCCCTATTTTACTTCTCATTCATTAAAACTAGCTCAAATTTAAGTATTCGCTATAGTTCAGAGCAAGGCTCTTGTGGCTAATTTCACAGTGAAAAGCTTTTGGCTGTGATGTGAACTAGGGAATATAAATTCAAGTTTTCATGCCTCCAGATGTTACACTATACTGTGCTCAGTGCTATGGTTTCTAAAGTTGAAATACTGTGTGTACAAAATGAACAAAAGAGAGGTTAATGAGAATTTCATTGCCATCAGGTATCTACCAGCCCAAACTAGGAAAAATTCTACAGCTTCATCAGTTTCCTGGAAATTAAATGTGTTCAAATAAGCACCATTTCCAATGGCTCTGAGTAACTTTACTCTGCATTGTAAAATTCTGGCTGGGCTAAGAACTCAGTTTGATCTTGCTCATCTTTTCTTGAATGCCTCTTGGCAAGGAAAAGCACACAAATTTCCAAAAGGTGGCATTTATTTTTGAAATATTTTACTTGTGTTTTGGGGTATTTGAAATTCAGAAAGAAACATTTTGACACATAAGAGCCAAATAGCAGGGCTGGCAGATGTTTCTTGTGTATTATAAAACAGAAATAACTTCTGGGACAAGCTAAAGGGTTTGAATAACATTTTCACTTCTGTTGAAAACAGGAGTCTGACCACAGGTAAAGATAAAACATTGGGAAATGTTCAAATGAGCAGATAACTGAAGTACTTACATCATGTAGAGGATATGCAGCTGAATAGGTGCCATTATTTAGCAGTCTTTTAATCCCAAACTTTTTCTTCCCTTCTTCTGTCCCATATGGGCAACGTGTTAAAATATAGTAAACCTAAATTGAAACACACATTTCAGTCCTCTCTTGTTTTAAAGACTAAGATTTCTACCAGTTGATGCAGAGAGCTGTACAGAAGTGGCACATTTATCCCTTACCAGAAGCAACCTGTCTGAGGCTCCTGGAGGCAAGCTAGCAAAGACCCTCAACCATTCCCACCAATACCATTTTGTGATTTTAAACAAGATTCACAGGCATCTAGGAGATTTTCCATTATATGTATTCCTTTCTTGCACAGGTAATCCCACAGCCAGTGTAAATCTAGACCTAAGTACAAACAGAAATTCATATACGCACTATTCTGTTCCTCATGGATGGCGAAAAGAAAGTGCTCTCATCATTAATGAGATACAACTCCTGCTTGTCCTTGCTGAACGGCGCTGTGAAGTAGTCAGGCTCAGGGTGCATCACGTTCTCGGGGAGCCTGAACGGCATGAGGACACAGTCCAAGGGGTTCTCCACCGTCGATGGAATGTCATTCTCCCTGATGGGAACTTTAATGTTCAGCACTTCGGCGTATGTGATCAGAACCTCCCATGGGGCATGGATCTTCACAAAGTAGATTTTGCCATCTTCGGATTCCTGCCCCAGGTGGGTGAAATCTGACATTAGACTAAACTGCATGTTACTCTAAGATTGCTAATGGAGTTGTTGCACAATTTATTTCCTTTTGCACATTTAAGGAAAAACAAACAAAAAACAGCTCTTCTCACTAACAACTCGTGCTGGCTTACGAAGGATTTTGCTGCTGCATTGTTCTGGCATGCTGCAGCCTCACCACTCTCACTCCATCCTGCAGTGGCAATGGAGCAGTTTGCTGTGTCACACTTGCCCCTTGGCGCCTACATGTCCTGCTCACCACTGTGCTGCATTGCAAAGCTCTTGATTTCCTAGGTGGGGACAGCTTCCACAGCACAGACCAAGTCTCCTTGGAAAACTCAATTCCCAACAAGACCGAGCAAGTCTTCATGGCCTTGCAGCTACGATAAGGGATAATCTTATCACAGCCCTGACCCCTCTGAGCATGCCGTGTGGTAGTGTTCTCCTGCCTACATTGCGCACAGGAGACTACAGCAGTTGGGTATTTAATGTGTATCTCAGTGAATCCCTATCTGCAGATGTTAAAGTCTAAACTTCATCGGGAGTTTTCCACTCCACCCAGTCCCTGGCAGAAAAAAAGAGCACGATAATTCTCCCCACACAAAGCACAACAGTATCACTAATGTAATGAGTCCTTGCTCATCCCAATTACAATACCCAGTAAATCAGGACTTCAGAAATCCAGGAGTAGTTGCTTAAGCCTCTTCAGAGCTAAGCTAAAGTGCATTAAATCTAGCTGCAAGTGAACTTCTCATTTGCTCTGGCTTGGATTAGTAGTTCAGAGCTATTTTTCACTTCCTTTTTGTGACAGAAAAAAGGCAATGACTTCCTGGAGCAAAAAAGCTTTCTTCTCACAGCTCTTATGAACACACTTGGCAAATCCTAACTCAGAGATGCCTTTGGCTGATTTCTCTTGAGTTACTCAAACTACTGACATCTGTGATATACCATAATCACTTACAAAATAATAAGATTAATTAGTAACTTGCAGATCTATTTCTTTGGTCCTATTTTTTCCTCCTCCTGTTTAACTTACCTTTTTGTCTTCTGTTTCTAGTTCCAAACCAGCCTTTTGCAGATTGCTCTCAAATTCTTTTCTTCTTTCCTGAAAATAAAAGGACAGATTTTAACAACTGAGGAACCAGGGAAGCTCTACTCTTTCGTGCTCCATGGACAAAGGCTGCTTTAAGCTCTGCCAAATTTGTAAAAAGAAAGCAGAACAACAGATATAAACTGGCCAATAGGTACTGGCCCACTCCTGAGTCACAACAACTCAACAGGTCCAGAACGACTCACATGAGACTGCGGTTCAAAGCAGGAGAGCCCCTTCTCAGCTTAGGGAGGGTCTCTTCAAGTAGGCAAACTCATAAGCCAGGCAGCAAAATCAAGTCACAAGTTTTGAGCAATGCTAATGATGTTACAAGTCAGGAATAGTTTGAGGCTTACTTTTCCCAACTCTTTATTTCATCAATTCCCAGGTAGCAACTTGGGCAAGAACACCATCTTCATCTCTTGCTCCATAAAAGGAGGCTCATTTACTCCTCTTAGGAGATCCAATCACTTGTGTAATTATAGAAAATTTGCTGAAGAACTGCCAGGAGAAACACAGAATTTGTGAAATATTGAGCCTCAGCCTCATTAGGGAACACTAGCAAAACTACCTGTGGCTTCCTAGCTAACACTTTGAACTGGTATAAAGTACTCTGGTTAATACAGCATGAATAGCAAGTTTAAAGGTCCTCAAGCCTATGCTAAATATGTTGATATGTTTAACTGAGCATAACCTTGCATTACAAATAGCCAATTTTGCTAAGTATCAATGGATATTAGATTAGATACTGGGCTAGGAAGTTAGTAAACATGAGAACCCCTGCATTTGCATGTGAACTGCCATCCCATGCATGACTTCTTAATTCAACTCTCCCAGAAACACAGACATGCAGCTGTATAAACAAACAAAACTATTGTCTGCAGACTTAATCCTGGGGCAAACAACACAACTTGAAGGTGATTTATGATTATAGTCAAAGCTGGTATATGAAAGCTGCTGTTCAAGTTGAATATCCAAAGCTCTCCCTGCCTGTGCGTTCTCCAAACAAAGCAGACAGCCTCACATTCGTTCCCTAGCAATCCTGGGGGAGATCCAAAGGGGTCAGCACAGAGGCCACTTGGCACTTCAAAACATTTGAATGTCAGTTCTTGCTATGCAGCTCACTAATAGACAGAGCCATCCAACTTAGCTTTTGTCACCATAGACTTATTGTGATAAGTTTTAAAACTATCATAGAAATTATGCTACTTTTATCAGTCTGCTTCTTCCCAGTAAGCTGTCACCACCAGAGCACACTGGGACCTACCATATAGTTACATACTCCTCCTGCACTCAAAATAACCATCCCTAAATGTAGATCAACCTACTAAAGAGTTCTGCCTTTCTTGCCAAACACTTAATTTCTTCTTAATGCTTCCGCCTAAGGCTTAAAATGGACAAAACTCAGCCTCAGGCCAGGCCTGTCTTGCAGATGTTACTTAATAGGTACTTGCTCACAGTCTCATAAACCTGCAAAGTTTCACATGAGGCACAACAAATGATATAACTCTCCTATCAGAGAGTAGAGAGAAAGGAAATAGTTATGTCAACCAAAACTGGCCTTAAATCCCTTCCCTTGCATTTTAAGTGTAATTGGAAAAAATAAACCCCATCTTGTGAACCCAGTAATACATGTAGGGCACAGAGCAGTCACCTCTGATCCCACTACTGTGGATATCCCCCCTATTACAGGGCAGGAACTTCACCAGCTAATAGAGACCTGAGCACGGTGAACTATCCTGATAAGATTAATAAAACAAAATCCAAAGTCCAACAGCACTAATGCAACCTACGTAGAGGCAACACTGCATTATAAGTTATCTAGGCAAGACAGATAGCTGTTATAAATCTGTTTTTTGATAACAGTGTTGTTACTGCTAGTAACAGATGCCAGTAAATAAAAGAATAAAATCATTTCTGATGTGCACAACATATATTATTCTAATAAAAAGACTCTTCATCCAGCCTTTCCCTTCCCCTTAGGGGAGAAGCTTCAACTCTTACGTATCACAGTAGTCCAACACACCCTAACTACAGCCTAGAGTAGGATATTGGGACAGAAATATGAGTTCTAGGAATATGGCAGGACCATAAGGGCATTCACAGATCCTGCTTTTATTTGTACTCTGCACATTTCATTTTGCAGGACTTGTGCAAATGCACTCAATCTGATCTACCCACACATCTCAAAGTAGACTTTTGGGTAATGAAAATCATGGCTTAAGATCTAGCAGATTATGTATGTAAGCTTAATTCATCTATTCCTCCATATTTCCTTATTTTATAGATTAAAAACAAAACTTAATTAAGTCAATCTGCTAGAGGCACTAAAAGAAGAGTGTAGTCTTGTAAAAAAAGATAGAATCTTTTTTTGTTTGCAGTGGCTTTGTGTTTAAGACAGGCATGTAGCTCAGAAGGCAGATTCAAAACAGAATTTAAGTTGCTTAGGCTGGAGAGTTCCTGGGTAGCATCACAGAATTCAATACATTTGTTCTGCCTGAAGCTAAGGGAGGAAAGGCACTTACTGCCTCTTTCCAAAGCAGCCGTATCAAGGCTGTGCTTAAATGCATAAACAAGTTGTTCAGCCATTCTTAGAAATGCAGAATAAAGCTGCTTCCTTAAGACAAGGAAGCACAAAACATAGCAGTCACAACAAGGTTTTTCTATTCTTAGCTTTTATATTTTGCCAAGTCACTGCACTGCAGGAGCAGAAATGTGCACTTCATGCAGACTGCAGAATAGCAGTATCACATCTCAACACATCCCAACGGCTGCACTGCATCAGAATTTCAGTTTTCCCTCCCCACAAAGGGGACAGCATAGTATTCCTATGCTAGGAGGTCTTCATTAATTTACCAGTATGCTCATTGCAAAAAGGCTTACACTAGACATAAATATAGGATAATTTCATTTTTGCTGCACATGCCCTCAAAGCTGTTCAAAAACTGATGTGCCCTGATATTAACACCTTCATACTTATCAATTCTGCAATTGCCAAAACAGTGTACAGAGGCACCCACCAAAGGCCTCCTTCCACAGAGCCTTTTGTATGTTTGCTAGCAGCAGACATATGCAGAATTGACACCCTAGTTGGGTAGATGGTCTAGTATCTAGCCAAGATTCTTGCCTCTCCCAAGAACCCATGAAGAAGTAGGTAAAAAGCCTTGTTAGGCATTATATGGATGACTAGAATGAACTTAAGCCCATGTTTTAATTCCCCCTTCCTTGAATTATTTGCTAAATAATCCCTCTCTTTGACCATGTTACCTGAATGGGACTAATGGAAAAAGTTTATCATGCAAAAAGCTGAAAAAGTTTTCCTGTGTTTTATGAGGGGATCTTTTATTTCTCTGCACTGACTTGTCTCTTCTTCCTTCTTGTTTTAAAGTGTTTTGCTTTACTGTAAAAGGCAGACTGGCAAGGGCTACAACCTTAAAAAGTCTCCCAAAACACCAGGGTGGGATAGAAAAAGTTCACCTTTAAATAAACCTTTAGTTCACCTTTAAGCTAAATTGAATTTTATTGTTTTTACTCTGAGCAGTAGTTCACCTTTAAGGTAAATTGAATTTGAATTTTATTGTTTTTACTCTGAGC